AGATCCATACACCATTCCACAAGTTATTGTCTGGAAACTAGAAAAATGCTTATTTGGGCCCCTTTTTGGCCCCTAATTCCTAAACTGTTAGGACTATAACCACTATAATCAATGCCAACCTTCCTTTTGTGGTTATAAACCTTGTGTTTAAATTTCATAGATTTCTATTTACTTATACTAAAGTTATTGTCCGGAAACCAAATGTCTTCGGACGACGCTGACGACGACGACAACGACGACATGATACCAATATACGACCACAAAATTTTTTGCGGTTGTATAAAAATTGGGTGAAAAAAAGACATCTATACTTCAGGAGCAATAACTCCAAAATCTACTTCAGAAGTTAGATATTTCTCCAATTTTCAGGGTGGCTACATCTTGTCATGCTGATCATTTTTGCAATTTTCACTCTTAAGCTAGCTCTTATAGTTTTTAAAACAATGGCAAAAAAATGTCAAAAAGTTAAATATTAACATTTCAGGGGCAGTAACTCAAAATTAGATAGTCAGATTTTCCCAAAACATTCATGGTAGATAGAACTTGTTGTGCTGGCCATATTTACTCTGTCAGTTTTTCTTAAATTACTATAGTTTATGAAATAATAGCCAAAAATGTAGTTTGACCCCTATGTTCTATTTTTTGGCAAGGCAGCTGATTGATCAACTTAGACAAAAATAACAAACTCTATAGTTGACATCCTATAGATGAAGCAGACAAACCTTGGTTTCAATCCAATGAGCAGTTTCAGAGTAGAAGGTTTTTAAAAAAAGTTCAGGAACAACAGGCGACAGATGACGGACTACGAAAACAAAGTGATGGCAAAAGCTAAAAAACTTGGTAGACCTTAAGTTATTATGAAAGACACATTTTCAGAAATATAAGTTCGATATCTAAGAGTCAGAAGTTATAATGTTTAATAAATATCTTTGAAGATGTTTGATAGATTCATAATACTTTTTTTTACTATAATTCAATGAGCCAAAAAGGTTGCCTTATCATACCTTCTCCTTTCAAATTATGATTTAATGGCATTAAATGTATTGTAGAAAAGGCTTAGAAGGGCAAACATTCAGAATTTTTGTACATTGAAGCAACATAAAAGACATGCTAGAGAGAAAGCCATTCTAGTTTGAATCAAAGTACTGAAGAACTGAACATCGGATGACCACAAGTTCTGGTGGATGGTCTCAGAAAAAACAAGTTGCTTTCTTTACAAAAAGAAAAGCAATACGTGAACCTAAGACCGCTGACTGGTCACCAAAAGATTGTTGCTGAATTTTTGTTTGCTTTTGAATTAAAATAATTGACTGTGAATAGAAGGAGATAATGATGAAGCTAAACTACCTTTATTAAAAATTTGTAATAGTGTGTACATTCTTGCACAAGTTAGTTGAAAGCAATGTATGATAGGTGTGAATAGAAAAGTGTATATACAGCTACTGTTTGAACATTTTAAAGCTTGACTATTTCATTTATTACTTGGGATTGTACATCATTTTTTGATAATCCTATTGCAAATCCCAGTTTCTACAAACCGGATGCATAATGCAAATTGCACAAACCAATCGCAATATAAATTTAAGCTCTCAGTTTGCTTTATAATCTGGATGCATTTATTTTGTCTATCACATCTTTATATTTTGTTTCCTGCATGGATGCCTGCATATTCTCAACTCGTTATTGAAGTTGTCTGTACTCATGGTAGATGTACAGATAAATTTAAAGTCCATTTTCCATGTGAAGTGAAACCTTGTGGCATGCAACTTATAAGAAGGTTTCGTATATTTTTCTTGAGAGTAACACACCAGTTTCATTTGGACCTCTTATATAGAGACTTATTTTGGTCTCATAAAACATCTCAAATTTTAAGGATTTCCTGATTTTACTTTAATCAATCCAAATATTTTACAGGGAAACTTGGTTTTGAAGAATATCTTATTTTCAGAAGTTTTATGGATACCTGAACATACTCTCAAAAGAACCAATTTATATAAAAAGACATGTAAATATAAAAGAAATACCAGGATTAACATGTCGCAAGACGCGAGTTAAGTCTACAAAGAATCATCAGTGACGCTCGAATAAAAATAGTTAAAAAGGCCTGAAATAAAGTACGAAGTTAAGTAATCTATTCCTTGAGTAGAAAATTCTTGGCATTTCGAAAATGTCAAAGTTTATAAAAGGACAGTGACTCAAAAAAAGAAAACAAAAGAGAAACAGCTAGAGGTCCATGCTTGAAAGTCACATGGCAAGCTCTTATTGCGCAGATATATTGCCGTGTCCTGAATTTAGATAAGAAAAGCGAAAATTCGAGAGGAATTTTTGTGAACGCAAACCGATAGTGTGCGTATGAACAGGGTGATGTATAATGTGAATGAATCAAGACGTGTAGGATAGCTGACCAACACAATGAATACAATTTTCAAAACCGTACCATAGTACAAATATTTAGATGCTATAAGGTTGAACTAATAAAAGAAAAAAAAAGAAAAAAAAGTAATTAACATTATGATAGTAATTAAATTTTGTTATGATTATAGCAAAATATTAATTACGTTTTTTGTGAGATGCAAGGATTTAAAATCCTTGTGAATTGAAACCACGCAAGTATTTTTTCATTCACGACCGTTTAAAATTTAGATATTTAGCTAACTTTGGGTATGCATCCATGATCATTGGTGCTCATACGTTACATATAATTTTCATAAATGTAATGACTGATCAAACCTGTGAGACATAATGCACGTATACATTACAATTTTAATTATATTCTATAATTATTAGGAATAAATTCAGTCTCAGTTTTACCTTAACAATGAATAGTCTCTTAGTCTGGTAGTCTCTATTAATGAAATTAGATATTTTTTTACAGAAAAATCCTTTTGTTTGATTATCTTTCTGCTTAAAATCCGACCACTGTGTTTCTGACCTTAGATAAATATTTTTAACAGTAATATCGTTTTCTTAATTTTCTTCATTCTTTCCGGCATTTTGTCATGCTATGATTGAAATACTATTATCAAATGATAAACGTTCAGAAATAATCAGTTTATTCTGGGTCATTGTATATCAATAAACTATTTCCAGATTTATTAAATACAACACACACAACGCGTAGAGGGACCATCTCAAAGCATGAATTATATAATTGCTTTATCATTATACTTGATATCTTACATTTACATTATTAAAAACATATATGTTTTGTCAAAAGGCAAATAGGTTCCAACATATAAATGATTTTTAGAATGCAACCTAGTCTTTATTGTTTTACTTTCAAATCTACAAATGAACCGTTTGTCGGATTGTTGAAATATACAATGTCACGTTGTAGCCTATCCATAGAGAGACCGTATCAAAGACATAAACAACTACCTATATAAATGATGGAAAATTTTCGAGACGTTCCCAGAATCATGATTCCGAGGATATCGCGTGGCCCATAGACATTTCCAACACTCGCCAATATATAAGCGTTAACCCCCTGAGGGGGTTTCACACAAAAATCATATATCTATACCTGAAAGTTAGGTTAAGGTACAGAGATATATTTTTTTCTGAGACAAGTTCCTGTGTGGATGATGAATAAATGACAGGGAATTCAACCTCACCATAATAATTATTATATTGTAGTGATATGTATAATCTGGTTTGTTGTTATATATTACATGAATACTTGTATAACAGTTATATATATAGAAGATCATCTCTCAAGGTTTTCTTCTGCATGCGTTAGCACAAATTTTCGGTATTCATGATTTGTTACTGATATATATATTTCTAACGACAAAACATATTCATATCATTTATCTATGTTCTTAAAAAGTATTTTCATGAGTATTCATTTATAACAAGCGAAAAGGATTGTTATTTTGCACTCGATAATATCCGCGTATTTATACGAAATACATTCGGTTATCAGTCAAAAGCACAAAGAAATTTCTGCGGCAACATAACACCAGTATGACCTCTCAAGGTCACATCCGATGTAAAAAGCAATTATGTTCTGGAAAACATTCAAATGTAAAAAGCAACTATGTTCTAGAAAACAAACTGTTTCATGATTAAAAGTGTACAAATACGTGTAGACTTAATGGACAGTGCAATTTTTATTGTGACGTTACACAAGCGCAACCAATGTGTTATTGGAATTAGAACAGGGCTACATTTGTACAAGAACACCATATTAGAATACTGATCAGATTTGAAAAAGTTTCTTTTTTACAGGTACATTTTGGGGCTTATTTAGCCCTGTAAATTCATTGAAAATAAAAAAAATTTGTATGGTTGTCATTATTAATCAATCATTTATGCTTCAAAAAAAGAGCTGCCAGGCATAGATGACACAATTTTCCTGTGATGAGTCAGAAAAGTGATGTGATAAAGGAGATTTTTCATAAAAAATAGACTAACAGAAACATTTGGCTTACTTAACAGAAAGCAAAAGCAAGGCCCAATTATATTTTGCCAGTGAATAGATAAACAAAAAATACACTTACTGTTTAATTATTTTTTGGGCAGACCGTAGTGTTCGATTGCATTTCCTAAGCATGTGTAAGGAAACATTTATGATTATCATTTTGCTGAATTTTCTGTCATTCTTTAACTATATAACCAATGAAAAAAGTATATTTTAAACTAAAATTGCTTGGTTTTATATTTAAATACATTGAACTTGCAATGCTCATTCAACATTTGAAAAAGGTGAATACATGACATATATTATATGCACTCAGGCATATTTTGTTTGTGCACGTCGAGGTAAAAAGGAAGTATTTCTGATTTAATCAAATATCTACTTTATCTTTTTAAATAGTTTTTAAAATAGTTTTGCTTACTTTCAATGTGTAGATGACAATAAAAAATTTTCACTGCAAATATCCTGTATAATCGCTAATGCTTAAATTAAACTGACATCTATTGCTAAGGCAACTCATCATATTTTTAACCCAATCTATTTGTTTTTATTTGTTCCTCTGATTTTTCTATAATATTACCTCGGATTCTTCTATATCATAAAGTAACAAAACAACTGCAAGTCTGTTGATTCTCTGTGATTTCTCTAAACTGATCAACAACTCAAATGAACACCAAGGACTTTTTAACGAATTCTTTGACATAAACAGCAATGTTTTGTCTATCTTATGTATTAATTTAGTAATTGCAGGTACAACATGATTTCCTGGTCTTAACTCATCTTGTCCACAAATTTGTATGTTCCTTGCTTTTAATTTTGGAACCACTTCATTGCTAACAAGAAAACTGTCTTCTAATTCATTGCTGTGAGATATGAATACCTTCAATTTACCATCAGATTCTTCTATATCTAAGCATCCATCTTCCTCCATCTTTTCACTGAAAAAAAAAACAAAACATAAGGATAAATTTAATAAACAGCTGCGCCATGAGCGCATGATACGCCCGTCGCTTTTTCAAAGAATATAGTTCAATAACTTCTCAATGTCATATCAGAAATTTAAAAAAAAATAAAGGGAGTTTATCTTAATATATATAAACCAGTCACCAAAGTTTCACGAAAACTGCTCAAAGCACTTTAAAACAAGGAATTATTTGATTCTGGTATAATTTTGAATTCTGGAAAATTGATTAGAAATGTATGATGAAAACTAACCCAACTAAATAGGGTTAGCCATGCGTGCATGGCTAAGGTTAATTTTACTTTCACTATCATTTCAGTATGAACTAACTAACCCACCTTAGCCATGCGCGCATGGCTAACCCTATTTAGTTGGGTTAGTTTTCATCATATATTTGTCATCAATTTTCCAGAATTCAAAATTATTCCAGATTCAAATAATTCCTTGTTTTAAAGATATTGTCTGAAAACTGGAAAATCACCCCTTTTTATGAATAAAATCCCATAACTCGGAAAAGTAAAATCTACAAATTTATAAAAATTGAAAGGGAGCTCATGTCAGTAGATATAAACAATTCATCAAAGTTTCTTCAATGTCATATCAGAAATTTAAAAAAAACTAAAGGGAGGTTATCTTAATAGATATAAACAATTCACCAAAAGTTTCATGAAAACTGCCGAAAGCATTTTTGAGTTATTATCTGAAAACTGGATAATCCTCCTTTTTTTAATGAATAAAACCCCATTACTCGGAAACATAAAATCAAAAATTTATAAAAATCGAAAGGGAGCTCATGTCAGTAGATATAAACAATTCACCAAAGTTTCATGCAAATTAGTTAAAGCTTATTTGAGTTATTGTCCCACATGTGGACGATGGACGGACAGACAACTGTATACCATAATATGTCCGTAAACGGGCGTATAAAAACACTCTGCAATGTACATCCTAATTTACGGATAATAAAGGTTGAATTCTATGTTGAAAGTCTTTGAGATCAATCTTACTTCAGGTATCACTCCAACTTAACATTATCTATCATCCATGAAAATAAGGTCAAGGTCAGATGTATACCTTGCAATGATTCTAAGCAACAAATACAGTTGACCTACATGTATAATCTATAATAACTGATAATCTGTTGTAACCACAAAAGCTTGATGTTGATCCATTTACCATGAAATAAGGTCAATGGGCATGTAAACCTTAAAATTATTCTATACATCAAATATAGCTAACCTGTTACTTATATATAGTTTCAAAGAAACTGGCCTAATCATGAAAACTGAACAGTTGACCAATGAACCATGAAAATGTGGTTAAGGGCAGATGAACATTGTCACAGCAACATGTACCAATTACATTCAAATATTTGATTTTTGACTCATTAAAGTATCTGAGAAAATAACCTAATGACAAAATTTTTAAAGATTTCCAATAAGCCATGAAAATGAAGAAAATTTCAAGATGAACCCTGTCAGAGGGAAGTGCACATTACAATAATTTAATTCCTTAAACATAGTTGACTCATTTCTTATATTAATAGTTTCAGTTTCAAAGAAACTGAACTGATCACAAAAACTAAAATAGCAGTTGGCCAATGAACCATATTTTAGGTTAAAGTTAGAAGAACCCTGCCAGAGTGCAACTAATAATTATAATATTTTTCAAACAAAGTTGATTCAATACACATAAATATAGTATTAAAGAAACTGAGCTCATCATAAAATCTTAGGTCAAGGTCAGATGAACCCTGTCTGATGGACATGTATACCTTGCAATGATTTAATAAAACAAATACTCTGAGTTGAGCAATAAATAACTAAATATAAACCATGTAAAAAATAAAATGCTCTGCTGGGCGCAGCTTGATACGACCACAGAGGTCGAACCCTGAACAGTTGGGGCAAGTATGGACACAACATTCAAGCTTGATACAGCACTGAATTTGGATTGTGATTAAATATTTGTCAATTTGACACAGCATAGGTTTCTGACACAGAATGAATGTGGTCTAAGAACTTAAAAATTCTTAATTTACCTATTCAAACCATATTTTTTCTATATTTATATTATTATTATTTGCTTTTATATATAAATCAGAAATAACCAATTTGAAATTGAAAATTTTAAAGAAAAAAAAAGGAAAAAAAAATCCCCCCCCCCAATTTTTTGAACCCCCTTATGATTCATCACCCCCAAACTCAATCCCATCCTTCCCTTTGTGGTATGGTACCTTGCAGTACAATTTTAGAGAGATCCATACACTTGAACACAAGTTATTGTCTGGAAACTAGAAAAATGCTTATTTTTGACCCCTTTTTGGCCCCCTTATTCCTAAACACTTTGGGCAATTACCCCCAAACTCAATTCCAGCTTTCCCTTTGTGATATGGAACCTTGTAGTACAATTTCAGAAAGAATCATACACTTACACACAAGTTATTGTCATGAAACTAGAAAAAAGCTTGTTTTTTGCCCCTTATTCCTAAAATTTTGAGGCAATTACCCCCAAAATCAATCCCAGCATTTCCTTTGCGATATGGAACCTTGTGGTACAATGTCAGAGAGATCCATACACTAACACACAAGTTATGTCTGGAAGTTACAAAAATGCTTATTTTTGGCCCCTAATTCCTTAACTGTTGGTATTATAACCCCCAAAATCCATCCCAACCTTCCTTTTGTGGTATTTAACCTTATGGTAAAATTTCATAGAGATCCATTCACTTAAACTGAAGTTAGAGTGCGAAAACCAATGTGTCTTCCGACGACGACGACGCCAACGTCATACCAATATACGACTGCAAAATTTTTTTGCGGTGGTATAAAAATATGGTTACTGAACCATGAAAAGTAGATGAAGAACAACAGACATATTTCAAAACAAAACATTATAACCATAAGATAACCGAGTACAAAGATACGAATTATCCAGCATTTCTTATTCTTTTTAAGTTTTCTGATTTTTGCAAATTATTTACACTTTTACTGCTGGATAAGCATTTTTATGTTTCATCTTCTTGGACATTCCATGCAAGCAAGGCAAAAGGAATCTCGAATTTTAAGATGGGTTAGGTTGTCAAAAATCAAGTAATTTGTATGTAAATAACCTTCTGCAATAAATCTGTGTTTGGATGAGTGGGACTGGTGTTGGTGTTTGGTGTTTGGTGTAGTTTGTTGTACTGTCCAATATTTTTGGTAATTCCTGTTAAATACTTTTTTCTGAATTATCGGATTCCACTAAATTATTCTGTGAAGCAGTATCTGCTTAGGCCAAAAATAAAATTAAAATTGTTTGATGCTGCTTACCTACATGTACCCACATTAAAAGCAGCCTACAAATTTTATGACACAAATTATTTCACATTTAAAAAAAAAAGTTTTTTTTTGCTCTAACATTGCTTTCTTGTCTAAAACATGTAACTAATATCTTATTGGCAAAAAAAAAAAAAAAAAAAATCCTACCTACCTACCTAACCTTACAAGGCATGGGTAGGCAACATCATACAAAGAATTTGTTAAGGGTAGCCTTACCCTTCTGGGGCACCTTAGATTATCTAAAACTTTTGATGGGGTTAGTGTTGCTCAGTCTTTATTTTTCTGTGTAGTGTTTTGTGGTCTGTTGTCTATTGACTCTATTCATCATTGCAATGGGATTGTTTGTTTTTCATATAACTCTTTATTGTTCCTTTGCATTTTCTGTCTCTTTTTTCATATTATTATATGATGGAATAAATAACTTTACATTCCTATGTCCCCATTAAGACTTCAGAAGCAAATTATTCTAAAACAAATTTAATAGAATGAAATATTTCTTCCTGTGATATACTTTCATAGCAACAACTATCTTTGCATACTTATAATTTGAAACCATACATGAGTCAGTAAACAGTATATTTTAATTTGATCAAAAGCTATTTTAAAAATATCAATGTTCTTTATAGTGGAAATCAGTTTAAATCTCAGGAAAAGTTACTCGAATAAAAGCTGCTTCACACAATTAATATATTGATATTAATTCCTAACTGAATTGAACTGACCAATATGAAGAACTGATTATTGCGAACCCAATGAAAGTTTTCCACAGTGCCATCTCTATCTTGACCAGGTATTTAAACTTTTGTAAGTTCACCTGTCCTATTGAATAAATACAATAGCTATTGTTCTCTGTGGAGTTTATTCTCTGGGACCTTTAAATTACTTCTAAGAGAAATCTATCATTCATTGATTAAATTACCTGAGTAAAAAAATTATCTTATATATAGACAAAAATACTTTTTTTATACTCATTAACTGCGTGTGATGATGTATTTATTCAATATTAATAACATATTTTCATTCAGTTTAATATAAACATCGATTCAATCATAAAAAGTTGATTTCTGACAAAACTTTCAACAGTGTTCCTTAAAAAAAAATGTTTGACATGAATAAAAACTTGAAAATTATGATGTTTCCAATTAAGATCTTCTTAAATGTATTCTATAACTAAACAAAAAAAAAAATCAAATTTCAATAGGAACATAGACAACACTTTTGTTAGAAATCAACTTTTTATGATTGAATCAATGTTTATATTAAACTGAATGAAAATATATTATAAATAGTGAATAAATACATCATCACACGCAGTTAATGAGTATAAAAAAAGTATTTTTGTCCACATATAAGATAATTTTTTTACTCAGGTAATTTAATAGGACAGGTGAACTCACAAAAATTTACACCCCAGTTCTATTGTTATACTTCATAGTTTCTATTTCTGAAACAAGTGTAAATTGAATAGATCTATTGTTAGAATAACAAAGGATTTTGACCACAGGGTGTGACGAGCGGGGTTTCTGGAAACCCCTGCTTCTACATCCGCAAACAAAGTCCATTGTTATTCGTAACAATAGAAATTGATTTTTTTTTTAAATAGCATGAACATAAGAAACTACTAATAGTGTTCACTACAAATTGTTTCAAGATATTAAAAAAACACATTTTAGGAAATTCCAATTGCGAAAAAAAATTAAGCATCTATTTTGAATACAAAAATAATCCTTTAAATACTCCTTTGTCTGAAGGTAATCTTTTTTATCCCAGTCATATGTCTCTATTCTAAAGCATTGGTCTTTTAAAAAAAAATGGGGATTCTAACTCCCAGGACACCCCCCCCCCCCCCCCCCCCCCCCCGTCTTATACCCGTCCATATTGACAACTGCATACAAGGAGCATGATGTATTTTTTGTTTGTAATAAGAATACACGAAACGGTCAACCTTGACCCGCTGATCCATTTTAGCACATGGATTTAACGTTAAATACCTGGTCAAGATAGAGATGGCACTGTGGAAAACTTTCATTGGGTTCGCAATAATTGGTGGCAATTAAGTTATTAACACACCAGTGAAATCTGTAAATGAGCAAACTGACTCCGTTTTGGAAAAAAATGAAACCAGAATTCTTGACAAAGACAACCACACAACCTTTAAGTAGCAACTGATCAAATTGGTGAAAACTTAGACAAGAGGCTCCTTCCAGTTGAAAGTTTTTTCAGAAAAAGTATTGATATATGAAATATTGTTTTTTCACCTCAATCATGGGAAAGTCAAATTGAGATATATCTCAAAAGGTAAATCATGATGGTATAATAATTTTGGCATGTCAAGAGTAGATATCAACATTGACCTTGTGTCAAAATTTCAAGGAAAAATTGATATCACATCTCTTCTGTATTGATTGCCGTTACATTATTTTAAAATAACTCCAAAACATGCAAAATTCAGGAAAAAATTGATATCTAAGGACAAGAACTACTTTTAAATATGGACAATGATCCTCATCTGTTGATCATTTTTGCTGTTCATTGTTTCTCTCTATATGTTACAATTTTGAAAATAATAGCAAAAAAATGCAGACAAGAGGCTCATAAGAGCCTGAATTGCTCATCTGGCAAAACTATGCCAATTCAAAATTTATTTTTACCTTAATCAAATTGGTCATGATTGCTTATTTGTAGAAATTATCTAGCTGATAGCCCTATCTTTTAAAGTGTTTGAGATAATATCCAAAAATAAAAAAATGGGTAAAATTGCATTTCAGGTTTAATAACTGAAAGGAGTCAATTGATGATTTCAGTTGTGATAATTTATTTGTAGAAATCATCTTGGTGATTTTTGCTGTTTACAGTTTCTCTGTTTTTATCATATTTTTAAGATTAAATCTTGATCCTTTATATGGTGACTTATTTGAAGATCTTAACTTTCAAATCATTGTTGCTGTATACAGTTTAACTCTTTCTATTATTATAATAGTATTCAAGAAAAAATCCCCAAAAAACACAACAACAATATGGTAAAAATTGCCATTCAAGGGCAATAACTCCTAAAAGGGTCAATTAACCATCATGACTATACTGACTTATTTGTAGGTTTTGGTTTGTTGATCAGTTTTGCTGCATACACTTTCTCTCTAACATGTCTAATGAAGGTATTATAGTTTTAAAGATAATTGCCAAAAATGCAATGAATGGGTAAAAAATTGTTAAAAAAGGGCAATTAATTACTCTTATAAGAATTCAATGACCATTTCAGTAATGTTGACAGTCATTGATCTTGCTGATATTGGGTTGTTTACAGGTTCTCTCTTTCTATAATCATTTTCAAGATAGATACAAATAAATCCCACAATAAATGGATAAAAATCATAATTTAAGGGCTATAACTCTCATGAGGACCTCAACTGACAATTACTGTTATGCTACTTTAATCGAAGATCTTATCTTTGTGCTCCTTTTTGTAGTTATCAGTTTCACATAGTTGCTATAGTTTTCCCAAAAAAACCAAAAAGGCAAAAAATGGTAAAAACTGTCATTCAAGGGAAATAACTCATACAAGGAGTATATTGACAACTGTTTACAGTTTCTCTCTATCTATTTTTAGTTTTCAAGTTAATTGGCCAAAATACAAAAAATGGGTACAAGCCACCATTATAGGGCAAAACTTTCTAAATGGAGTTGTCTGATAACTTTGCTGGATATAACATGTATAAGGAAAGTAGTTATGTCTTGTCATGCTGATCATTTTGGTCATGCTGGATTTTCTCTAACTATAATTTTCAAGATATAAGTTAGTAACTTGCATCTATCCTTATTTTAAATTTATAACCATGTTGGCCATATCGGTTGATAGGTTAGAACTAAAAACACACACTCTATACCCAAGATCATTCCGGCCAAGGTTGGTTGAATTTGGTCTAGTGGTTTCAGAATAGAAGACTTTTAAAAAGGTGATAACAATTGGCCACAAGGGACATCAAATGATGAGGATAGCCAATAGGGCAGGATGAGCTAAAATACTTTGTCAAAAGAAGGAAACAATATGATATATTATTGATTAAACATTTTTTATTGGCTTAGTTTTTGGTCCAAGGTCCATGACTATGGAGCCAAAGACAAATAATGCGAAATTATATTATGCTTATCAGAAAAAAAGAATTGGGTGCGCTGAAGGCGGGTGCACAAGTGTTCTTTTAACATCAATTAAAAGAATAATTTTATTTTGAATTACTGATAGCTCAATGAATTGCAAAATTGGGTTATTATAAATCAGGAAGAGAATGACATAGTGGTTAACAATAAAAAAATATATGATTTGTTTACTTTGTCCCCATATAAATTGTATACCAAAAAACTTAACCAACTCAATTTCGTGTCACCTCTGGGATTAAGAACTGATTTAACTTATAGGAAGGTCTATATACAATGTACATTTTTAACCCCTGAGTGAATTTTCTCCTGCTTAAATATTTTAAACAAGAAATCTCCATTTCCTCTTCCCAAAATTTGTTGTTTAGAAAAATTAAAGTTTTCACTATCTTCTATTGGAAACATCATGAATCTGAATATGTTTTCTCTTTGTTTTGTCAAAATTATGACATCTACAAGTTAAGCATCATTATTATGTTTTACAGCATCTGTATGTGTCTATGTTTGACAGTTGTATGAGCATAAATTATTCAGCTGTCACTAAGTATTATGAAGGCATAGTAAGCCAAATAAACTTTTATTTTTATATCTAGGAAAAAGACTGGTATGGCTGCATTATCACCTGGATATATACCACCCTCAAAAATCCAATTATATCAAACGACTGTCCTCTCTTTATGGCCTAATTTAAGTAAGTACCATTAAAAGGAAACAATCATTTGATTTCTTTAAATGTAGCTTCTTTCTGAACATCAATCTAAGACACCAATTTCTGTAATTTATGATGAATTCGGTTGATACCTATATATACAAACCTACAAATTATGAAAGCTTTTCTAAAAGGATGTACATTCAAAAGGTGTCATTATTTGCTACAATAGGTCCTGTAGGTCATGCATGCAATGCTAAAATCCTTCAAACATTGCCTAATCATCATGCCAATATATTATGGTCAACTCTATACTACATGTAAATGGAAAACAATCTCACTATAAAGTATAACATTTCTGGACATGTCAGGTCCCAAAAGGAGTATATACATGTGTATATAGCATTCACAAATTGTCATTTTTCTACAACAGACCAATGCCAATGATCAAGACAGCAGCCAAATGACACAAATTGAGGTCAACATTCTGTCTTCAACAATAGACCACAGGCGCTTGGGGAATTGACCCCTTTTTCTAAATATTTTTTTTGTTCTATTTTAATTTTTATTTTATAGTAAACATTCTTTAATATTATCTTAACCTATTTTTACTTATCAAATGTGTTCTTGCTCTTATCCATCAGATAATTACAATATAACAGTTGTTTATATATGATTTGGTATCTCCCTAAATTACTCAGTTTGGTGACAACCCGTCAAATGGAGTACTATTCCCCAAATGAGTGACAATCCCTCATTTGAATAATCATTTGATAATGCTAAAAACAAAATTTTCTTAATTGAGTCTTTTTACTTAAAATGGCACATACTCATAAAAAAATGCAGCAAATTTTCCAAAACTTAAGATGAAAAGCTCGAACCTGATATACTGAATAGTTACAAGCCTATGTAAACTTCGAAAAATTGACAATTTTCAAGGCTACTAACTTTAAAAAAACCCTAAATAAAAATGTTGTTCTTTGGAAGAAGTTGTTCCATTTCCTATAGATTTGTGTCATTTTAAGTAAACAGACCCAATTAAGAAATTTAATTTATTTTTAGCACTATGAAATGATCACTCATTTGGGGGATAGTTCCCCATTTAGTGGGTTGTCCCCGGCGATCTTAAAGTTGAAAACTTCTTTTGCCGCCTCGTGATTATAATCAAAACTTATGAACTAACTTACAATTGCAAATTATAACTATGAGCTCTCATTGACGTGTATTCCATATCTTTTATCAGACATAAAATAAATGAACTTACCTTCATTCGAAAAACCTGTATAAATGAAAGTTATCGTGTGCTCGATCGTGTGGCTTTCCAGATTATAATTAAAACGTTGAAACAAACTTTCCCAACTTTCGTTAATCAAAAACGAAAGTAAGTCTTTTATTTATTTTTTTGCGTACAGCATTAGAAATTCTCTATTTAACCAATAACGGATTCTTGCAGGTTTTAAATTCCATACAATGATTACAATGTTTTTTTTCTCAAGACAATAGAATAATAATATATAGCAATAAGAACAATGGATAGTCTATGCATGCACATGAGAGAAATGTTAATATGGAAGACAAGATTGTAAGGATTATTTCCCTTTGAACAGTATCTGATAACCTTACGCCACATGACAAAATTATGTCTTTTGAGCTGATCAGAGACATATATATTGTATGTAATTGAGACCATATTTCATTTACAACGGAGCTGGATACTTTACTAAACACTGTCACACACTAGTATCCATGCAAAAATATAATTTCAGATATAATGAAATGACATTGACCTGCAATTCAAAGCCCATTAATGATTAATACCATTAAGGTTAAAAAAAAACATAGGCTAGCCAACTCAAAGCAGACAGACTTGTAAAAACTTTGCTTTTATCTTAACTATATTTTTAGCTCACCTGGCCCGAAGGGCCAAGTGAGCTTTTCTCATCACTTGGCGTCCGTCGTCCGTCGTCCGGCGTCGTCCGTCGTCGGCGTAAACTTTTTACATTTTGAACCTCTTTTAGAGAACCACTGAATGGAATGAAACCAAACATGGCATGAATGTTCCTTATGAGGTGCTGACCAAGTGTTGTTACTTTGTAGCGGATCCATCATCCAAGATGGCTGCCAGCGGGGGATTTAGTTTAACATAGGACCTTATGGGAAATACATACAAATGTCTTCTTTTAGAGAACCACTGAATGGAATGAAACCAAACATAGCATGAATGTTTCTTATGAGGAGCTGACCGAGTGTTGTTACTTTGAAGCCGATCCATAATCCAAGATGGCCGCCAGCGGGGGACTTAGTTTTACATAGGACCCCTATGGGAAATACATACAAATGTTTTCTTTTAGAGAACCACTGAATGGAATGAAACCAAACATGGTATGAATGTTCCTTATGAGGTGCTGACCGAGTGTTGTTACTTTGAAGCCGATCCATCATCCAAGATGGCCGCCAGCGGGGGACTTAGTTTAACATAGGACCCTATGGGAAATACATACAAATGTCTTCTTTTAGAGAACCACTGAATGGAATGAAACCAAACATGGCATGAATGTTTCTTATGAGGTGCTGACCGAGTGTTGTTACTTTGAAGCCGATCCATAATCCAAGATGGCCGCCAGCGGGGGACTTAGTTTAACATAGGACCCTACGGGAAATACATACAAACGTCTTCTTTTAGAGAACCACTGAATGGAATGAAACCAAACATGGTATGAATGTTCCTTATCAGGTGCTGACCGAGTGTTGTTACTTTGAAGCCGATCCATAATCCAAGATGGCCGCCAGCGGGGGACTTAGTTTAACAAGGGACCCTATGGAAATACATACAAATGTCTTCTTTAAGAGATCCACTGAATGGAATAAAACCAAACATGGTATGAATGTTCCTTATGAGGTGCTGACCGAGTGTTGTTACTTTGAAGCCGATCCATAATCCAAGATGGCCGCCAGCGGGGGACTTAGTTTAACATGGGACCCTATGGGAAATACATACAAATGTCTTCTTTTAGAGAACCACTGAATGGAATGAAACCAAACATGGCATGAATGTTCCTTATGAGGTGCTGACCAAGTGTTGTTACTATGAAGCTGATCCATAACCCAAGATGGCCGCCAGCAGGGGACTTAGTTTAACATTGGACCCTAAGGGAAATACATACAAATGTCTTCTTTCAGAGAACCACTGAATGGAATGAAACCAAACATGGCATGAATGTTTCTTATGAGGTGCTGACCGAGTGTTGTTACTTTGAAGTTGATCCATAATCCAAGATGGCTGCCAGCGGGGGACTTAGTTTAACATGGGACCCTATGAGAAATACATACAAATGTCTTCTTTTAGAGAACCACTAAATGGAATGAAACCAAACATGGCATGAATGTTCCTTATGAGGTGCTGACCGAGTGTTGTTACTTTGAAGCCGATCCATAATCCAAGATGACCGCCAGCGGGGGAATTTGTTTAACATTGGACCCTATGGAAAATACATACAAACGTCTTCTTTTAGAGAACCACTGAATGGAATGAAACCAAACATGGCAAGAATGTTCCTTATGAGGTGCTGACCAAATGTTGTTACTTTGAAGCTGATCCATCATCCAAGATGGCAGCCAGCGGGGTACTTAGTTTAACATAAGACCCTATGGGAAATACATACAAATGTCTTCTTTTAGAGAACCACTGAATGCAGTGAAACCAAACATGGCATGAATGTTCCTTATGAGGTGCTGACCAAGTGTTGTTACTATGAAGCCGATCCATAATCTAAGATGGCCACCAGCGGAGGACTTAGTTTAACATAGGACCCTATGAGAAATACGTACAAATGTTTTCTTTTAGAGAACCATTGAATGGAATGAAACCAAACATGGCATGCATGTTTCTTTTGAGGTGCTGACCAAGTGTTGTTACTTTGAAGCTGATCCTTCATCCATGATGGCTGCCAGATGGGGACAATGTTTAACAAAGGACCCTATGGACAATACATACAAATGTCTTCTTTTAGAGAACCACATACTGAATGGATTGAAACCAAACATGGCATGAATGTTCCTTATGAGGTGCTGACTAAGTTTTGTTACTTTGAAGCTGATCCTTCATCCATGATGGCCGCCAATGGGGGGACTTCCTTTAACAAAAGAACCTATGGGAAATACATACAAATGCTTCTTCTAGAGGTGCACTGAATGGAATGAAACCAAAACATGGCATAAATGTTTCTTATGAGGTGCTGATTAAGTGTTGCTACTTTGTTGCCGATTTACTGTTCAAGATGGCCACCAGGATTTTTTGTTAAATTACAGGACCAATATTAAACCAAATTTGGCCTCACTCATTATTAGGGTATCTGTTATGATTTTTAATCTATTTTTACATGATTTCCAAAACCAAAGTAGAATCAGGTGAGCGACACATGCTCTTGAGAGCCTCTAGTTTTAGTTATCAAGGAGGATGCCTTTCATACAAAAAAGTCTAGTTTCTAAGAGAAATACAAATATTGTTTGCATTAGGTAACTATAAAAGGGTTTTTTGGCCATATTAATTCAAATACGAAAGTAGCGAATGAACTTCAGTTTTCACTAAACTTATGCCAGAAGCTTTTGCCAACAAAATACCAATAGGCTGGACACTTTTCTAGTAGAGTATTAATTAATTAATTAATATGCCCAACCTACCCTCACCAAGGAGGAAAACCTGAATAATCATAAGTCTGTTCTATTTTCCTTTGGAATTTTAACCAAAGATAAAGAACAGGATCTTCTGTCATTGTATTAGAGATCTAAATTATACACAAGTGTCCTTAGAAACAACGTTACATTGATGGGTCGTCCAAGTGCTCCACGAAATCTCTTTCTAAATTATTGACATCAATTTCATCAGCAATAAAAGCCGGGCTTCAAAGTTATTGTGAAGCTACCTACGCTAGGGTTGGCGTGAGTAAATACAATCTAAAATATTACGAAAAAAAAATACCGAGCTCCAAGGTAAACTCAAAAGCATGGAAGTCCGTAAAACCTGACAAAATCAAACACTCGACTATATCAACGAACGGAACGATTCTGGTCTCAAGTCTTAATTAACTTAATACATCCCTACATTACTTACAAAGGAGGAAGTCCTAAATATTCATATGTCTGTTCTATTTTCATTTGGAATTTCACCAAAAGATGAAGAATTGGATCTTCCTTCAATGATACCTAAATTGAGATTTAAGTCTCTTTTCTCTTGCAAAAGTATTAAAGATTTCGACGTTTTTAACCTTTACACAGTTAGTCCCACTTCAAACTAAAGACAAAATGAAAATTGGTCCTGCTTTGTTTTATTAAATAGAATAGCATAGTTTGAACGTAGATACAAGTAGAGGGAGGGATATATCGTACTTTGTTAAAAAAAAACCACACACTCCGATTCAAACAAATTATGCTCTGAAACTGGCATTATCAAGATGCTTGATTTCTTGATTGACAACTTACGTTTTACGTGGGAGATAGAACCGTGTTTAAAAAAAAATCAATCGGCATTCCCAGTGGGAACTAAATGTGCTCCTCATTTTGCCGACTTGCTATTTTATTCGTATGAGACAGACTTCATACAAAAGCTTCTTAGAAAGAATGAAAAGAAGCTAGCATTGCTAGAGGTATCTTTTAACTTCACATTCCGCTATATAGATGATGTCCTCTCACTAAATTATTGAAAGTTTGGTGACTATGTTGAACGCATCTATTCCATCGAACTTGAAATAAAGGATACACCAGATACAGTTAATTCAGTCTCATATCTTTACTTATCATCTAGAAATTGACCATGAGGGTCGGTTGAGAACACAACTTTACCTCAAAAGAGATGACTTCAGCTATTCAATAGTGAACTTTACATTTCTATGTAGCAACATTCCAACAGGACCTGCATATGGAGTGTATATCTCCAAGTTGATACGATATTCCAGAGCTTGCATTTCTTATCATGATTTCTGTAAATGAGGATGGCTACTTACAAGGAAACTATTAAACCAAGAGTTTAAATTATCCCCTTTCGAATATTTTACGGGCGCCATCACGAGTTGGTTAGATGTAATGGAATATATGTTTAACAGATAACGACGGATATGTTCCAATTGTCGTAGCCATTATCCCGTCCTCTTTCCCAACCAAATTAGACTAACCGCCGGATTTGTACTTAAATGAGCAACACGACGTATGCCAAAAGTGGAGCAGGATCTGCATACCCTTCCGGAGCACCTGAAATCATCCCCGGTTTTGGTGGGGTTTGTGTTGCTCAGTCTTTTGTTTTCTGTTGTCTTTTGTATACTGTTGTGTCTTTTGGTCGTTTTTCGTTTTTTACCATGGCATTGTCAGTTCTTATTCGATTTATGAGTTTGAATATCCTTTAGGTATCTTTCGTTTATAAAGAAACTTAGGTTTCAACTCCCTGAGGTAACCGTAACTTAATCTTAGATATATTTTGATATTTTTCTAGGTCCTTTTTGGTCAAATAGCTCTTCAACTGTTTCGGTTCTTATACATTCTTGGCTTTCAAATATTCGGCTTTAGACGTTCCTGATGAAGTTAAATCCAGAAAAGCGCTTCGGACGCATGCAATTTATATAACGTGGTATTTTCATTTTTGTCACCTATCTTAATGAATCTGAAAAATGTTATTTTTTTCTAGCTCATTGCATAAGAAATGTGTTCAGATAAGCAGGAAGCAATATATTAATTTTCTTATCGTGTAATACCGGAAGTCCATTACTCTAGTAATGGACTCTGCAAACCAACAACAAAATAAAATACCTCAAGTATGAAAAAGGTTTACCTTCTTTTTTTAAAACTTCTTTTACCATAAAACAAGTATTTAATTTATTATAATTCATTTGATCAAACATATCGTTTAGTGGTTTTAAAACGATACATGTAATTAAAATTAGTGGAGTGAAAATTCTTCGAAAAATGTTGAATACATGAAATGTATGGGACATAACTATGACCATATAGACTAATCTGACGATAATTTGATGCAGTGAGCCTATGACTAATAATAGTCCCAGAGTGAGCATATTTAATTGCAAATCATTTTGAAATAGTTGACATGAAAAATTGGAGAAGTCGGATGGGAAACAACTGAAAGTGCAGTTTTTATTAAAAATTATTTTTCAGGTAAGATATTAACTTTTAGGGTCAGATTTTTTGCGATTTCTGACCCTTAAAATGTCCTGAACAAATTAGAAAACAGCCAGGATTATTTTATTAGTGTCTTCTGACTATTTATCAAAACATGTAGAGGAACCAAAATTGCATGTGTTAAACAATTTTGATTCGTGTGTTAAACCTATTTTACTATATGATTGTCAGTTTAGTGAGAGAAAATACTACCATTGAGTCTAATAAATATAGAAGGATATTACAAGATTAAATTAAAAAACAAATTTGCCAAAGTTTACTTAGTGAGAAAAAAGACTTGGAACAATAAGCTCTTCGACTTCGTCAATGGTTTGTCTTTCTAATTGTTGATTCGAGCGCCACTAATAAGTTTTATGTATACTAAAAGCACGTCTGTAGTAACATGGGAGTAAATTGAAATATAATACTTCCAAGTAATAATAAATTATAAGCCTGATTCTTTGAGGATATTTTACAACCACTGGGTCGATGTCACTGCTGGTGGCCTGAGCGTCTCATTCTGAGGGAATCACCAGCCAAGTAGTCAGCACTTCTTTGCTGACATGTAAAATCATTGATGCTGTTTTATACTTCAATTTACTGTTCATAACATGTGCCAAAGATTTTAAACACACACATATACAATATATATGTATCTAAGATGCTTCATCCCGTAGTCAACTCTAGCAAAATTTAATAAAATATTTTGGGAATTTTTGTTTTCTATGCTCTTCATCTCCGTAGTGGATTTGGCTGTCAAACTGTTTTAAATTAAATCGCCACCGATCAGTCTTATGAAGATGAAAAAGGCGACTGGCATTTTAAATTGTAAGTCTGGTACATCAGAAAAATGTTCCACTTTGCAGAGATCTGCAGAGATCGGATTGAAAATAATTTCATTTCTTAACATATAGGGCTTTAGGATAAATCTATTTGAAATTATCTAAATGATAATACTTATCATCTTTTATCATTTAATTAGTCTGAACAATGATATGTATGCTACGAATAGTTGTTTAGAACAAAAATAATGTTAGGAAATGAATTGTTAAATCTGATTGACGGAATAAATAACACCTCCAAACAGTAATAAAATAAAGAATATTATAAAACAAAAATACAAATTTTAATAAAAAAAAAAGAGTTAGATAACATAATAAAGTGATCATAGCAGTCAATTTAACCATTGTCTATAAGCAGCCATATCTTGTACACCATTATTCATTACAAATTTAATGTAACAGGGACTAGCAATCACAGGAAAATATTTACGAACAACAAACAAGAACTTCAAAGTTCATACTATAGCATGACCGAATCTTTTTACGTTAGCAAACATAACACGAGGAGTAAAACGTACATGTTGATCAGGAATAGGAAAGTTAATAGTTATGAAAATTAAATGACACGGTATCTAGTTAATGAAAATAACACTTTATTAAGTTTGTGCGTCCAAATGGCTTGACCTGCATCAGGAAAGCTCATACCAACACAATATCTGAAAGCCAGGGATGTAATATGAATACGTAGAAACGTAAGGAGCTATATGATCGAAAAAGACCTAAAAATGGTAGACATTTATGATCCAAAAGCTGTACATGCTGTAGTTGCTTGCTATAAAAATGCAAATAAACATTTTCTTTGGGTCATACACAGTCATGTATTTGTCGAACAGAAAGAGACTGAGTGAGGGTTATAGATAAAAAGAATCAAACAGAAAAAAAACCTAGATGATTTTGGTGCATGGTATTAAACTTTTAAAAGAATCTCTGGATTGTTGTTGAGAAATGTTTTACAGGAAATTGTCTTAATGTGCATCACTTTAAAAAAATGATTATATTAAAAGAATTATGTAATATGGGAATAACTTTGATGAAAAAGAAGATTGTAGGTTACAGATATAAAAACTGTTTAATGGAAAAGGAAAAAAATGACTGGCCAGACTCAGAAGCAAACTCAGTATCATATAACAATAGACTGTGACTTGATATTTTGTGTAATAAAGGGGCAGAAAATTGTTACAGACACGGGAATTGATTGTATTTTGAAGAAGTCCAACAGTATATATTTTTAGAATATTCAGGACAAGGACCATATATTCAATTAAACAATAGAAAGGTTCTGATTGTTGATGAATCACACATAATTTAAGAAGGTTCAAGCATATACTTTTGGTACAATTATGTTTTTTTAGCCCCTTTTTTGTATCACACTAATTCTTTACACGATATTAAAAGTAGCCTATCTTGATTAAATGGAGGGATACTCCTGAAGTCTGAGTTGTCACTGAAGTATGAAGATTGGTTGAATATGATCAGAAATTTACTTTCAAACATACCATTTATTATCCCCTGTGAAAACTGCTGAAAAGTTTCCTTAACATGAAGAGATTGTGGCATTCATTCAACATGGGGCTTAAATAAGCTATGACAAAATGATTTTGGGTAATCGTCAATGAGTCCATAATGAAACACATATCCAACACTGATATCTATAGATATAACCAGTACAACCCTCTTTAATAGAATGGATAAAACAATGGAAACATTTAAGTTATATAAAATGGGCACCAGCTCCATGAAAAACCATTGGGTATACTTTTGTATGACAAACAAAGGTGGTCCATCTCTGCAACCATTTATGAAGAAACCTTGTCCCACCTTTGTGTTAACTGTATATTCTAACCTTACAAAATAGCCCACAATTCACTACTAGTAATCTAGCACTCATCCTATTGAGCGATGCCCAGGTGAGCATTTACTATTGATAATAAACATATAAGTTCACCTACTTATTTTTCAAGTGACCAGCTGTCAATAAACTAATTTTCAGATAAAATCTTATGCAAAACTGTTCAAAAACTGACCCTTTATTATGGGATAAAGAACGTAATTGTGAAATGCCTTTCAACAGTAGACAATATTGCACCTAATGTGTCATCTCGAATATTGATGATAATTCTTTAAAAATGTAAAAAATTGTATACTTGGAAATTTGGAAATAGCAGCTGCACAAAACAGCAACAGCTGAACAACCATCCACAAACATCCACAAACATTTAATCACAAAAGCATATGAAAAATATCTCAACTCATTGACAATTTCATTGAAAGCCTGAAATATCAACTTGGATAAAGTTTGTTTGAACCACACATAACAGTTAAAATATTTTATTTAATTGACAAATTGACATATACCTTCAAATTGACAATAGCTAACTTTAACTTTTTTAGGCAAATATGCTAAACATTTAATAAGTTAACCTTTCTTTTGAAAGATATATTTCCAAAAACTGTTCTTGGTTTGTTTTTGTTTTATATTTTTATAGAAAGGTTATTACGTACATAAAGATATTCAAATACATATAATTAACTGTAAAAATAATTAAATAAGTAAATATATCAACAATTAAAAGTAAAAATATAAATCATTAAAAACTCTGTTTTGACACTAATACATAAACAAAAAATAAAATAAAAATTTTATTAAGTTATAAATCAAAATAAAAAAAATAATGAGAAATTATTACATTTCATAACTGTGTTTTGACTAATTGGATTTTGGTTATCTCAAAGATTACAAGTCATGTGATCTGAACATTAAGTGCCAGTCTTTGTAAGAATCATGCAGGCACTTTAGAAGAATAAAAAAAATATGGTTAAGAAAACTAGCTGACCTAACCATCCTATTATGAAGTCATCCTCCTCCTGAGTTAGGAATGGTAAGTCTTTCGTTTCTGCGTGTCTGATAGTTCAAGAAATATCTAGATAACTTTTGGTTAGAATGATAGCAAATTATGGATTAAGCTCCCCTTAATTGTTAATTTTTAGTGCATTTCAACCAAATTATATCTTGAAATACAAGAACAGGAAAAGGAAACGAATGTTATATTCATGCACCATTATACATTTTGAACTTATATTAACGTAAACTTGAGTATTTGTTTGTCATGTTTTCACCACTGTCTGATTCTTAGGCAGATTGGTATTTAATTAGCATTTATAAACGTAAAAAATACACTGTACCTAAAAGAGATAGTCATCATAAACCATCTTAGAGCGCAATATTTTTCATGAATATTCAAGTAATATGATTCTTATGAACAAGATTGTGGCCAGTTGTATAAAATAAAGGAATAGATAAATAAACTCATCATAGATACCAAGATTAAAATTTTGTACGCCAGACGGGTGTTTCGTCTACAAAAGACTCATCAGTGACACTCGAATCAAAAAATTTAAAAGTCCAAATAAAGTACAAAGTTGAAGAGCAATGAAGACCCAAAATTTCAAACGGTTTTGCCAAATACAGCTAAGGTAATCTATTCTTGGGGTAAACAATCCTTAGTATTTCGAAAAGATCTAATTTCATTACTAGTAACTATTTATTTATCATTATGACCATATTAATGATAATCCATGTCAACACAGAAGTGTCGACTACTGGGCCAAATGAATCTTATAAGTAAGATTGTGACTAGTTATATAAATGTATGGGAAAGATACATAAGTCTTATAAGCAAGATTGAGGCTAGGTATATAAATGTATGGAATAGATACATAAGTCTTATAAGCAAGATTGTGACTAGTTATATACATTGATGGGATAGATACATGAGTCTTATAAGCAAGATTGTGACTAGTTATATAAATTGATGGGATAGATACACGAGTCTTATAAGCAAGATTGTGACTAGTTATATAAATTTATGGTATAAATAAATGAGTCTTATAAGCAATATTGTGACTAGTTACTTAAATGTATGGGATAGATACACGAGTCTTATAAGCAAGATTGTGACTAGTTATATAAATGTATGGGATAGATACATTAGTCTTATAAGCAAGATTGGGACTAGTTTTATAATTTATGGGATAAATACATGAGTCTTATAAGCAAGATTGTGACTAGTTATATAAATGTATGGGATAGATACATGAGTCTTAAAAGCAAGATTGTGACTAGTTATATAAATGTATGGGATAGATACATGAGTCTTATAAACAAGATTGAGACTAGTTATATAAATTTATGGGATAGATACACGAGTCTTATAAGCAAGATTGAGACTAGTTATATAATTTATGGGATAGATACATGAGTCTTATAAGCAAGATTGTGACTAGTTATATAAATTTATGGGATAAATACATGAGTCTTATAAGCAAGATTGTGACCAGTTATATAAACTTATGTATACATATCAACTTGTAAAAATATAATGTAATATTTGCTTAATTTTGAACAATTGTAAGAGCTATGAAAAAAAAAACAAATACAAAGCTTTAGTCCAAACACATGTAAACATCTGTTACATTTAGAGAAACCACATGATAAAATGATAAAAAAAAGCCTCCTAATGACCTTCACTGGCTTGCGAGGGAGAGTTAGGTAAAATAAAACTCCATTGAGGTAGACAGAAAAATAGTAGATTACAAAGGCTTTCGTTTTGATCAACAAACAAAATCACTTGTGTCACTAAAGAAGAACCCGGATATAAATGATCAATGAATGGAGAACGAGGTGTATAAATTTTACTTAAATAAATAATATATAAAGTCAAAATGTGTTATTTCAAGAATGAAAAGAGTTGATGTGGATAACAATGTAAACGTTAATTTGAACATAATACACAAATCCTGTTTTTCACTACATCAAATTCTTAAAGAAAGACAATTGCAGTTGTTTTGATGTAAAGTAATTGATAGAAATCTGCATTCATCAACTCAAATTTTCAGCTCTGATATGGAAAGAAAACCTTCATTAAATTCCATTTACTGTGAAAAGACCAATAGCAGATATATTTAATGTTAATCATATAAACCCCTAGCTCTGTTTGACAAAAGGAAATTAAAAAAGCAAACTTGATTTGATAAAAAGAAAGACTGTGGAAAAGTGTATATTAATTGAACTAACTGTATGAAGACAAGCAGCTTTTACAAAAATGTGATGAGTATAGACAATATTACTGGTGATGAAGTCAAATGAAGAGAAGTATTTCCCGTGTGTTGACTTGGCTATGGAGGTTAACACATGATATTACAATGTGCTATTTCGTTATATAAATAGAATAAAATGTCATTATGCATTATATCCATGACACAGATTATGCATTATATGCATGACACAGATAAAACAGCAATGCTTTATGATTACATCTTGAAATTGTCTGCACATAAATTTCCAGTATGGTAATTAAGTTAAGCCACTTTTTTCAAAGTTGTAATCTAACAAATCTTTGCTTCTATTATATCAGCCAATGACTCTGTCTCATCTGAAAAACATAATTCAAAACAAAATTTTATTATGACCCATGGTATAATTTCATACATTTTCTGTTTAACAAGAACATGTGCCCATAGCTTTACCTAGCAACAAGGTGTTTAATGGCCTTAAAAAACATTAATTTGTATTGTTTTTCTAATCAAAATATTACAATAATGATTAACTGTTTAAAAAATATATACTAGATCTTACCATCTATAATGTTCAACTTATATATAAAAAAACATTTGAAAAGATGGATGCAAGCAAGAAAACTTAGTTACCATGGCAAAATGATTATCAAATCAGGGAAAAATGGCAAAAATTGAGAGCTTTCAAATATCATCTGGAAATCAGACTTGTGACATCATATATGGACAAACCAACTGACAAAAGGACACCATTGAACTTCTGAATGAGTCAATTGTGCCTTATCACTGATATTTATCACAAATTATGGAAAACTTACCATTAAAATAAACAAATTTACAATACTTGGCTTTTTGAGGATCAGCTGACTCCATAAGATTTTTCGCCATCTCATAAAAATTGTATGCTTCTGATAAAATAGTGTCTGCAGTTACCCCAGCAATCCTCCATTCTTTCATCTCATCTAAGCATGTTATAGGGGCGGCATATTGTCCAATAAAATATTTATCCTGTAAAATAGTAGAAACATTAGTATATGTATACATGTTTATACCAAAACATTTGAAGAAAAAAGAATAGTGACAAAGACTAATAAGGAAAAAAGTAATTAAAAAAAATGTGTTTGCAAATTCTGAAACTTAAGTGATTTAACAACATACTGGTATTTAACACTTTTTCTTTAATGAGGATTGTGTGGTTAGTTTTGCTACCCTGTTGACACTTCCGGTCTGGCTTCTTTTTGAGTTAATGCAATTCCCTCAGTTTTTTTTATATCTACCATGATCTTTATCTTATCAATGAATTTATGAGACTTGAACATCAGTAAACTACAGTTGCTTTGAATTTATATCAGTACAATATTATTGAAAAGTTAATTGATAAAAAAAATAAACCTTTGACAAAGTGGAAGTATGGTCCACCTATAGCTATTTTTAAATTAGATGAGTTGTAAGCAAATCTCATAAAAGGATACACGACATACCCATTGTATTCATCTTAAAAACAAAGTATTGACCATGACCCATGCAGACACACATTCTAACCTTATACCAAAAACACCTTCTGGTGGTGGGTAACATTACTATGAAGCAACATTAATATCTTTTGAGGTATTCAAAAGTTCTAAGTCAGCATGACTTCTTATATTTAGATACGAGGATGTAAAGTTGAACTAATTTTGTGGTCTTGACCTTGCAGACAGACATTTAAACCTTATTTTCAACACCCTTTCTATTGGTCACGCCGTAGGAAATTATAAGATGTATTACATCGGAATCTAGCGTAAACCAGATATAACTGGTAGTTACGTGTTCAGATCCAGGCGTAATGGAGCAGGAAACGTAAATTTGTAGCACTTAGAGTGTAGAAAATAGTGGTAACCTGGCGTAAATTGGGCCTAAATTTTCCAACGGGCGTAAAACTGTTGGAAGGGCGTTAATAACGATACCCAGAATGCTTCGTTGCAAAGGATCATGGGAATTGTTTTTTCAAATTTGACTCTCTGGTATTAGCCAGCAAGAGTTGGACATATGGCAGCTAAAAAATATTCAGGTGAAGTTTACTTTTTTATCCTTTTTGGAAGAATTTGAAATTAGGATAATGGAATCAAAATGATAGATGAAATTGAGGAATAAAAGGAAAGTTAAGTATGGCAAGGATTTGTATAGTACTATACAAATCCTTATGTATGTTAAATTATAATTAATTCTGTGTTTTTTATGTTTTTATTTTTTAACTATTAAAATTCTAGAGATCCTCAGCATTGCCACTTGCAAAGGATAATACCATTTTAATCTTTTATTAGTTAAATTACAGTATCATCACTAGTTTTTCAGGTCTAATGACAATTTTAAAATAATTACGTCAAATTGTTAGTTTTATTTCCAGTAAAATGAACTATCAAAATTATCATTTAAACTGAAACTTAATTGAGCCAGTGTCTGGCTAAAATGTACATGTATTTCTTTAAATTATCTTCTTCAATGGTTAGTATTTCAAGTTTTATGTCAAACAATGAGAAATTATGAGTAACAGTAATAGTTGGTATCAATTACACAAGGTACACATGCAGGTTCATGTACTGATTTACATTAATAAGTGAAGTATTATGTAAGGCTACTACCCCTGGTTTATTTATTGACCAGATGTACTCATTTACATATTACGCCGAGTTTTCTGTCGACCAGGTGTACTCATTTAAACATTCTGCCTAATTTTACGCCTAGTTTCCACCTCTGTTGCGCTTGGTTTTACGGATGGTCGACGCCTGGACATACATTCCCTAAACACTGGAACGATGCTAGGATATGATATGCATTCTACGCCTGGTTTCCGTGTTATTTACAGGCGTCACATTTCGTACAAGTGAGCAGCAATAATACCAAGTTCCATTATTATCAAGGTCTTCAAAAGTTCTGGACAACTTAAACAGACGCACCAACAGATGAATAGAGTGATTTCTATAATCCCCTTGAAGTACATTAAATAAAACTGAGTATAATAAACAAAAACTGCATTTCATACCAGATTTTTTCGATATTAATTATTTATAAAGGAATCTAGTGGTCTCAAGAATTGTCCTCCAATGACTTATTTTTTGGCGTAACAGACTTATTGAGTCAGTTGCCATAAAAACCTAGTAATCAGTGATAGGCCTTCAATAAAGATCAGTTGTCTGCGCCAATAATAATGAATTAATGCTTCCAATGTTTATTTAGTTAATATTCAAAAGATATGTCCATATGATTATTCACTACCACGATATCATCTTCCCAGCATTCAGTGGGAATTTTTATGAATAATAAACTCATGAAAACAGACTTACTGGCTGATCAGTGATTTTATATATTTGACAAGAAAACGGTCTGCTTCCACCAAAAGGAAAAATATCAGGAGTACTTGTAAAGTTAGTAATTCTGTCATTTTTGTCTTTCATCACTCCTCTGGCATCACAATTCTTTGGTATTATTATAAACAGAGTTTCAGGACATTTATAATCGCTGATATTCTTATTCTTAAACGACTGTTCAATGTCTTTTAAAGCATCTGCAAAAGAAGAAAATACTGAAAATCATCACAGAATCTTTTATTTGACAATAGTTATGTTCAAATTATCTCTATTGACACTAATTGAATTTTGCATGTCAAATTAGCTTGATATGTTTGTGGCCTAACTAAATCAGTTCGTTATTTTTTTTAATTGCTGTCATAGACATTAAAACATGCAACTGGACAAAGGACAGACTGTGAGAAAGAGCTACCCAACAGAAAAATCAAAGTCTTCACAAACAAGAAACACAAACGAAATGTGTGGTATATGTTAATGAAACAACAATCCAACATCACAAAAAATCCACCAAAAGACATGTAGTCTAGAGGTCAACATACTGTCTTCTACGACTATGCACGCTTTGTTTAAACAAGCATTGGGTAATTAACAAAGACAATAAAAAATCTTCGATCAAGATCAAATCTTCTGAACATAAAGACCTGTAACAAATGATACTATCTGTTGTTGATAATGGCACATAACACATTATGTTGACATACCACTTGCCAGGACAAGTTTACTTGCCAAAAATTTATAACATAATATGATGTCAAGGTCAAGATAACATGTGGGAAACAGTCAGTGAATATAGGATTTTCAATCAAAAAAAGGTCCTCAGCACACCTCTTTTTTGTTAATTATTTAATTAACGGAGGGTTTTTTTACTATTTTAAGCCTAATGAAACAGAGACATATAATAAAATTGAAATTTCAAATTACACAAAAACCTAAATATATAAAACCAGAAATCTGTTTTATCTTTTATGTAAACGTTTTCACTCATTTTATGCATATGCAAACTGATAAATCAATGATTTTCTTCATATAACATTGGACCAATAGACATACATTCATGTAACAAATAATCTTTCTCATAAGATGAAAAAATATATTAAGTCCATTTAAATAGCTTCAATATTCCTCTGTCATCACAACAGTCTCTCACACTGACAAACTATGCCCTCCGCCTATTAGCTTACTAATAAACTTACCTGGTAAGATGACTCTAAGATAATTTACAACATAACCCCAGGCAAGTCCATTGGCTACATCTCCAGCAGGTAGTAACATTTCTGTTTTCAAAAGAAAGTCTTCTCCTAAAACAAAACCAATCATTTTAAGATCTGTCAGTTTCTTTTAAAGCATAATAACTAATTTGTCTAGCGTTGTTAATTCTATTTTAATTTTACAGGTCAAATACAAAAAATATCCAGCAATGACCCAAAACCATACAAAAATTGTTCAGGATGAAATCCTGTAAATCAATAGTTAAAATCACCTGAATAATTTGTTTCACCACAGCAACATTGATTTCATACTTAACAATATTTAAACTAGATCTTCATAATTTTATCCATTGAACTTATAATAAAAAAAATGCAAGCATAAACACTGTGTAAAGTTGGGTAGTTGAATGACAGATATGCATTTTGTTTCTAGATCTGTGAAAAGGCATCTTTAGTAATGCATTAAATACTGAAGTCCAAGTGAATTCTTGTAACAACATATTCTGCTTGAGAAAGTTAACAAAATCAAAAATCTATTTTTTTTGTCAAGGCTTTTTTTTTGGGTTTGATGCTCTTAAATCTATTGTTTATATGGTTTCCTGACCTTTTGATTTCAAGCAGACCTGATGAAGCTTATTCCAGAAACATGTGTCGGACTCGGTTGCACACAAATTTGCATTATACATGCATAACAAACCAACTAAACCAAACAAAGAACTTCAAAAAGTTTATCTTTCTTTGATTAATAACAGGCACTTACCACTGACAATATTGTGAAGACTTTTAAGATGAGACTTTGTTTGTCCATTATAAGGTACATAAGTAACCCACTGTAGAGCATCAGGTATGTAGATGTCATTACGTCTATCTACCACAGGGATTACCCTTACCCTTCTTTTGAGGATACCATCATGGAGCGCAGCTAGTACCCTCAGCTGAAGCATTTTGTCCTTTACTGAATTCTGCGTCATCAGAAAAATAAACCACCTACAATTCTGCACAGCTTTAATTAGCATATTAGACTTCACCTCTGGGTCTTTTGGGCTTTCAGGATTTTTCAGAATACTGTGTATCCCCCTCAGTTCCAGGTATTCAATAATTTCTTTAGCACACTGTCTGTCTTCCCTGTCTTCAGAATGAGCTATATATACCTGATATTGGTATTCAATTTCTGGTGTAGGCTCTAAGTCTTCCAACTTAGGCTTGATAGGGCCCTCCTGAATTAAAATGATAAAGGTATTCAAACTATCTAAATGCTAGTTGTCATAGATGGAAGTGTTTTAAAGTAGAAATTCAACAACAAATTAAAACAACTTAAAACAACTTAAAAGAACTAGAAACAACAAAAAAGTCTGCAGCCATGAAGCATTTGTTCTCACTGCCTTATTAGGCTCCACAGTGAAAGAGCTTTTAAGGGCTTTTGCATTTCTTTTACAGTTTCCATACTTTTAGGAGCTAAAAAGGGACAAAAAATCCTCTTTTCATATGGTACATAAAATCCGATTACTGTGTCTAGCCTATTACTGTGGATATACTTCACTGTGTCATTGATGCACAGTGGTGTGTCCATACTCAATTTCTATATATATATATACACCTGGTATCAATGGTTAAGTGTCATAACTAAGCAAGTGAACACTATTTCAAAGGCAAAACAAGTGAAATATTACAACCTACCTTTGGCGTAATATTTTCAGTTAATTGTAAATCTTCTTTTATTGCTTTCACTAAAGCTGCAGACACTTTCTCAGTTTCATCTGTAAAAAGTATAAGGTGATTTCATAATAATTTTTTGTTCTACATTAGAGTTTTATAAATCAAAATTTTGAACAAATATGTCTGTATATTGTAAGGTCTTTTTTAGACTGGTAAATTCTAGACAGGGTGTGATTCCTATGTGGCAGCAATGGCTTCTTTTTTGTGTTCGTTTCAAACACTCTTATTGACATTTCTGATGAATTTATTCACAACTTTTTTTCTCAGGGTGATTTTAAACTATACATATTGTAAAGAGACGGTGGTGTTGTTGAGGACTATCTCTAAATGGCTTTTGGTTATTTAGTCATTGGGTTGCTGTCTCATTTACATATTACTAGTACAACACAACATGATGCCAAATCTCTTTATATTCCTATGATGTGCAAAACGTTAACATTGTAATTTATTATCACTATTATCATATCAATACTATTATGATTTCAAATTTTTTTTATATTACCAGTACATTTGTACTAGTACCACATGATACCAAATCATTTTTATTCATATGATCTGTAAACAGTTATCATTATCATTTATTATTACTATTATCAATATCAATACTATTAAAATTTTCAATTTTTGTATATTACCATTGAAAAGAATAACTTTTGCTTTATTTCTACTTATGTCAAAGTGGTTTATCACAGAGTTCATGGTATAGTAAAACCTTGCTAACTGTAACTTCTTGTCATCTTTATTAAACTTTGCTAAATGGTGATCTTCCATTGCCTTCATTGTCCCTATGGCATTTGGGTATTCACAAATGCAGAAATAAGTCTAAAAAGGTATTTGAAAAGATTGAATCAATTCAATATATAATTTGAGTGTTAAATCCTTGTGAAACAATTTTTCTTAAGGTCTATTTTATCGATGAAAATGCTTAATTTTCTAAGACCATCAACTACACTTTGACTACAATATATAACCACACTTTAAGAAATCTTAGAATTTGGTAACATGCTCTCGTGGAGAGTTGTCTCATTGGCAATCATACCACATATTATGTTTTTTTTATCTTATACTGACTTTTTTTTAAAGTCATCTCTGCAATTATTCATTGATTTTTTTCAAATGGGTTCATAAATGAAAACAAAAACATTAGTAGGATTGCTTAATTCAACTACAATGTCTCATGCAAGCACAAAATGATAACCCCTGCGGAAGTGATTTAAAAAAAGACTGTTTTGATAAAACATACAAACATGAATCTTATTGAGAGGCCATAAAAGCTTGAACAGGAGCTCAAGATAACATAAATTAGGGAACTATTACCTGCACACTATTTTCCTAATCTGGGGATAAAGAAGCAGAAAAAAATTAAATAATCAAACCTCTGAGATAAAGATACCATACATAAATATTCACCTGATCACCATCAGTAACACTGTAAAGATTTACTGCAAATTTTCTAATGTTTCCTCCTCTAATTATACTGGAAAGTTCCAAAACTGTGACCAGTTTGATATTTTCATCTACTTTTGATAGATCAAAATGGCAAGTACATGTTGTTGGTACCATTTCATAAAACTTTGTTGACACATGGTTCTGAAGGGTGGTTGATTGATTTCTATACCATTCAGATTCCTGCAGTTTATTTTCCAAATCTGTGAAAAATCAACAAAAATATGAATACTATACACATGTTCTATTCCGGTAAAATTAGATTTAAAATAATTTACTAAAGAAGAAAATCAGTAAGCATGCTTATTCACCTCAGTACAGTTGAAAATACTATAAATCAAGAAACTGATTACAAGAACAAACTAGATAATAGTTACAGAAGCCATCAGAGAGGGCCCCTCAGAAGTTAACAAATATATTGTGATGGGTTATTTGATTATAACATAGCTTATAGCAAGCCGTTTTACTATTTATTCTAACTTCAAGATATCTCATATACTTTATAGTTTATAAGATATCTTATATAGTGTATAAGATATCTTATATAGATTATAAGATATCTTATATAGTTTATAAGATATCTCATATAATTTATAAGATATCTCATATAATTTTCTTTATATATACAAGTCTAAATTGAAAACAACGTTCAAACACAGATTGCGCTGGATAAAAACAGCAATTTTTATATGTGTGAATGCAAAACAAATTTCTTGGTAGAGGGGTCTAAATACAGCACAAACAACATTTTCCAAAAGACCAAAAAAGTGAAAAAGTATATTTTAACAAAACGCATTTGACTAGCAGGTCGAACAACTGATGTTTTTAAACCCTGCTGACTGCCATGGCGATTGCCAAATAAACGGATCACTAGATGTAACAAAATGGATCTTAATCATACCTGCCAACTAGCCCGATTTTAGCGGTATCATCCCTATTTTGATGCCTCAACCCGATTCCAATATCGGGATCGTAAAACAAGTCAAAATCCCGATTTTTACAAAATCTACCCGAAAAAAATGTTGGTTACCGATTTTGAAGTTTTTCTGATCAATTTCTGTAAATCTATAATTTTACCTGGCGACATATTTATGACAAGTTTACAACCCCAAGTTAATCAACGGTCACAACAGGTGTCATAATTTGTTGTTACAGGTAATCTGCTTATCCGATAGGTCATAATGATCCTCAAAATTAATATATTTGTAAATAGAATCGGGCAGTCGTCATTTCAATTTTATCAATTTAGAATACGATCACAATTTGCAACGTTTACCGTAGTATCATGACAAAAACGTGATTAACTGAAAGGCGAAAACTATAATGAACTCATTATGAAACATCGTTTATCTTGAAATCCGTGATTTTTTTGGAAATCAGACGTGTTTCTGTCCAGTTCTGATTTAAAATCGACGCCATATTGTATTCACTTCTACTGTGTATAAGCCTCCGCCTTTGAATACCAAAAAAGATAACTCAAATTTTATCCATTTTCTCGTTATTGATAAATAATTCAAGATCTGTTTCCATCCTTCTAACTTTAGGGCATTTGGGTTTAGGTCTTTTGAGTCATGGTGTAAAGATAAAAGGGTCTTTGGAAAAAGGGGTCTTTTATTTTGTATCAGGGACTTTATTTTTTTAGGCCATTTTTCTCTATTAAGTTATTTTGCAAATTAATAAGTACAAGAATCATGCAAATAAAAGAAACCAAGGCTTATTAGCTCATCATCAGTATACCAAAGAAAAAAAGGAGAGATATGAGACTATTTTAAGAGTATAAAACAGTGCATACAGAAACACCGCAAAAATGTTCACCCTGTTAAAATCTGGTCGCGCACTAAATCCCAAATGGGGATTTTCTAAAGTTGGCAGGTCTGCTTAATTATTAATTTAATACTTAACAAAATACAATAAACTTGCGGAAAAGATGGTATATATATATATATATATATATATATATATATATATATATATATAAAGTATATAAATTATAAGATATCTCATATAATTTTCTTTATAAGATATCTTATAAACTTTATAAGATATCTTATAAACTTTAGAAGATATCTTATAAAGTATATAAGATATATTATAAACTTTAGAAGAAATCTCATAAAGTTTATAAGATATCTTATAAAGTATATAAGATATCTTATAAAGTTTATAAAGTATATACATGTAAGATATCTTATGAAAACTAGATTATATAAGATATCTAATATATTATATGAGATATCTTGAAGTTAGAATAAATAGTAAACGGCTTGCCATAATAGCTCATACCAATGGAAGGCAGAAATTCAAACCAAACAGCAATGTGTTTTAATGCTAAAACAATGTGTGTACATATACACAGCAATGGCTAAGTTGAACTTAGTTTTTGTTCTTGACTTTTTATATACGGTTTCTTCCTTCTACCTGACACTCTAAGGAGGGATGAATACTTATGTACAATTTTAAACTCTAACATCTACAATGCAAGAAGGGAAAAACTTTCATTTTTTGTTAAAATAAATATACCTGGTAGGATGTATTGAAGTAACCCTGCATAATGTGACCATACCAGACCATGAGCTACATTTCCGGCAGGCATCACATGTTTTATAGTCTCTTTTTCTGAAACAGGAAATCAACCAATTTTTTTTCATTCATTTAAATCTTAGTTGCTGTCTGTCCTAAAATTACCAAAACAAATTGCAATATTAACCAAAAAAATCGTAGTATCAATATGTTAGTGCAACTAATACTTTCAAAGTCTTAACTATTATTCTATTCTAATGATGACTGTCTCCAAATTTTTCAAAACATGACTTTTTTAGTCCTCTGAGCATGTGCATTTTGTTGTTTTTTTGGGGGGAAATGCTGTCAATATTAATGTATATGATGTCATCACAAGGCACCCATCACAAGTATTGTGTATTGAGAGTATTTGCTTCACTTGAATTATATATATATATACAGCCAAGAATGCTGTAAGTGGCGTTAAAACCCCATCAACCAATAATCAATCACTACCATACCATAAAACGAAAAAGTTACTAATAAATATGTGTCCTTACTACCTAAAAAAAATATTAAATGTGAAGTAAAGGTTAAGCTAGTATATGCTCCTTCATTTGAGTTTAGAATCAAATATGATCTCAGCATTCTTGGCGATATCATGGCAGCGATTTATTATTGGTTGATGAAGCTAGAGTGCGCACTGAGTGACAGGAGACCTTTGACAGGAAAACTGGCATTGCTAGTCAATTAAGATCAGAGTTGAAAGCACCTGTCTCTAATGGGATTCAACTAGTGTTGTACACTTCTACGTTATTTGGTCTCTGCTGGAGAGTTGTCTCATTTGAAAGCATACCATATCTTCTTATTTTAATATTCAAACTCAGAACCTCAGTTTTGACAGTCTATGAACTACTTTGACCATCCTGCCACTGTCTAAGCTAGATTTACATCTGTTCCTTGTCATACTGTTTTAGTTTAATTGCGTGTTTTTATATACATAAGGGCTGGAATTTGGACTTTTAAAACTAGTTTAATATATTATGTTAGTCAAAAAGCACTTTTTATTGAACCACAATCAACCACAAGCATGTATAAAAGCATACACTTTAATGGTTAAATTAAGTGTTCATGAAATTAATGACTTTTAAACAGTTAAAGACAAGATTGGATCAAGCAACTTTTGAAAAGGAGCTTTCGCAAATATACATAGGGATATATTGAGAGGATGCCTATCTTATATTGCAAATTTCTAATATATAATGTATCAAGAAAAATGGAAGTTTTTAACCCAATTTAAACTGAGCCTCTATAAGACATGCCATCCCATCTCCCCACAGATAACATTCATTAATGGCTTTGACTAGTGTACTAAGCAATATGATGTGTGTGGAACATGGTAAGCTTATTAATTCTGATCACACCTAAGATGACTCCTGGATTTAGGAAGAAACCATGCTTTTGTTTAGTTAATGTTGTTATTGCTAATATCCTTTCTTTTTGTAAATGAATGAAATGTTCTATGTAATGTTTTGCAAACGTCATTTGAACTCTGGTTGATAGTATTCTTATTTTTATATTGTTTTTGTTATTCTTTCATATTTTTGTATCTTCTGCCTCTTTTTTTGTTTGTTGTACATAAATCTATAATAAAAGAGGATGAGGGTTATATGTCAATAAAACAACAACCCGACAGTTTAGGGATCTAAGGTCGTGTGTTGTTTATAGGGATGTTTAATTTCTAAAACCGTCTTAATTTGGTTATCTTCTAGATACACATTAACTGATAATCTGCAGTACTCTATTTCAATATACATGTACCTCTTATCCTTTCAATTGTCTCTGTAACCCAGGAATCATTTTCTTTTGTAAAAAAAATTTTTCTAGCTTCTTGTAATACTGCAATTTGTGGAATCTATAAAGAAAATAAAAAAATCTAAACTATGAAACTTATATAATGACCAATAAACAGAATAAGTTGGTTGCATATAAATGTGCTTGCCTCAAGTGGAGCTAGTGAGTGAGGTCATGGGCTCAAATCCTAGCAAGGTCAAAGATTTAAAAAATTGCAATTTGGCAGCTTCTCTGTTAAACAAAATTTTGAACTAAGGAGTTAGAGCATACATGGTCAGCTCAGAGTTAGAATAAAGTATGCGTGTGGATGGGTACATCATGATCCTTATCATCTCATCTTTGATAAAAAATAGAATGCATTGGTCCGGACTAATCTTCATTAATGCCCAAGTTTAAGATCAACTCTTAACAACTCATAAATGAAAAATCTATGATCTGCAGTTTCAGATCAATCAGATTAAGGAATTATATTGTTACACTTTCTCTAATATAGTAAAAACATTGTCTTAATAACATTACTAAGAATATGCCTGAATCAAATAATTATGAAATATAAGTAACAAGAATTTTGATTCTTTCTGAATTAATGAAGGTTTGAATAAGTGCCAAAAAACTAAAACAAACGAAAAATTCTATACATACGTCCCTCTCTTCAATACCATGCAGTAAAAGAACAACTGAAAGCTGCTGTTTCCTTTGGGATCTCTCTAGACCTATCAGTAATTCTAGGTTACACCAGCTACTTTGCATGGCATTCTTGGTGATGAAGAGAAGTGTCTTATCAACTTTATCTACCAATTCTGTTAAACTAGACAGAAAAATATGTCCTGGTTGTAATTCATCCTGAGTAAGGATGCTTAAGTCTTTAAAAACTTTCAATTTTGGAAGGATTTCATCAAAAACCAATTGTTGATCCTCAAGTTCATTACTGTGAGAAATGAATACTTTTATGGCAGTCATTCTTTTCCTGAAATTTTTTTAAAAGAACATTATCTATCTTTTGTGGTGTTGGGGACATTGCATCATATCTTCTTGGCACAATCCTATCTGTGCAGTACAAAAATTAGATGACCATATTCACTTTATGATGAAAGGGAAGCTTATTAGTAGAATTCACAAACATTTGATGTTTAAATTTTAAAAGGATAAATTACAAAAGTAATATATTAGTATAATAGTCATACTATATATTGTAAAAAAAAGAATAGACTATCTTTTGTCTTAAGTTTTCAATACAATCATTATTTCAAATAGTATATTATTATACCAGCATGGTATCACGGAGTAAAGTATTTTTTTCTAAACTGATTTTTGTTGTTCGTTCTCTCATATCCCTTCTGTGATTCCAGTCCCAAATATAGATTATAAAAGGGAGCTTTGATTTGTTTAAACTTGCCATTTAATAATGTTCATGTGGCTTATCTCATTAATCATGATTGTCTCTAGTTATATTCTAATGCTTTTGTCCTTTATCATATTTATAGAATTCAGTTTTGGTGGATGATCTTTGATATTCTGGCTGTTTTTACTTTATATCCACATTTTTAGAATTCATAGCTTGAGATGTTGTTTACCAACTGTCACTTTAACTATCATTTAGGGGGATGACATGCTTTTGGGATGTGGGATATAGGGGTAAAACAGAGGGATGTGGAATATACGTAGGGAGTAAAAAAAGGGGGATCTTGGAAAAAGAAAAAAAAAAAAGAGGGAAAGGGGGAGAAATTACAAAAAAGCGGGATATTGGCCAATGATCTCTGGATATTGGTTTTGTTTGTTGTTGTTGGGTTTCTGTTTCATTCATGTATTAACTTTATTTATCATGCAGGCTTCATATATACTGCATATATTTTATTAAGGTGTATATATATTCCAAAGTTTATTCAATATTCATAATTTGATCCAAGCTTTTCCATTCTTACACACATCTAAGATTCCATAAAATAAGAGCGAAGTACATGACGATTTTTTAAATTTTAAGGTATCAGTTGACTTGTAGTGGTGTCATGAATTATAATGGCATATATGTGGCTTTCGTTTGCCAAGCAATTTTGCAATCATAATCATTTTGGTAAGGTTTCTCTTAAAGTTGCAAGCTGCCTTTTCTCTTGTTACATCTATTAATACAGCGAGAGAGTGAAAGTAAGGTCTGGTTACTTTCGAAATGCAAAGTACGCATACTCATATCATATGTCTTAACAGGGAACCAGTTGTAAGATGCTGCACGTTTTCTGTGCGACGGATATTATTTTAGCATAAGCTATTGGTGTGCAATATAGCTTCTGTCACACTGTCCAATCTGCGATTGCCTCATTGGTTGGATCTATGTTCAATTCATCAAATTTTTCAAAATTGACAAATTTGTGGTTTGGCATCACTCAATCATGTCAATATATTTTTGTTTGTTTGATGCATGCTCTTTGTTTACAGTTTAATGTTTATGCTTCATTTTATTTAGTTTTTAATTATCACACATATCTTCAATTTTAGATTTTCATTATCTTTAAAGTGGCTCATATTCTTATTTTCTATTTTAGATAATTAATGAATTTCTTTGTTTATAAATATCAAATTTGTCACGATTTTTATTACCTGCATTCTAAATTTTCTTAGTGCTTATTCTAAATTTTTTTAGTAGATACTTATAGAATAACTAATCGAAGAATTCAAATAGAGAAAAATATTCAACGAGTGACCGAACAACACATTAATTCACGAATGCGCGTAGCGCATGAGTTAATTATCAGTGTTGTTCGGTCACGAGTTGAATATTTTTCGATATTTGAATTCTTTGGTTAGTTATTCTTTTTATTACATTGGCAAATGGCTTTTTTTAATGAAATTAATGTAGAAAATGTACGGAACTATATCTTTTTTCTACGCATTCACAATTTGTTTTGATCCGACGTTATCGACGTCTTGACAACGCCTATTGTTGTATGACGTCAGAGAGTGAAATAACCACGTTTATTTCACATGTGAAATTATCGGTTTTTATTAGACTGGGAAATCAATGTAATTCAATGCTACCAATGTAATAAACTTTTATCATACTTCAATTTTTATTAAACATGTAAAACTCATGCCAATACAACTTTATGAATAATTGTTACAATATTAAGTTTGAGAGACACGAATTGGTGTCGATTGATAAGTTCTTTGTTTTTTAAAACTCACCGTCAATATAACCACATAATCACATTCCCTCAACGGCGGTTTACGTTTGTTATTATACATGTATATATGATATCAGCTATAAAAGTATTTAACTCCCGAAAATCCCCGAACATGATTGGGAAAACCAGCTTATGGTTTTTCGTATTTTCAAAAAATTGCACATCCAGTTGCCAAAACTATAGACAATCATAGACATACAGTACAATATCGATATGCAACAATTGAATGTATTATATGTATCTGGCAAAACTGTCAACAACTTCGATAAAACATTAAATCTGGGACTTATAAATATATTTTTCTATGGATTTAAAAAAAAGGTCATGATCATGATACAGTTCATCCTAAAGAGCTAGTCAATTAATTGTTATACATACAAACTGTGAAAACCTACATATACATTTAATGTAAACATATGTCTGATGCACATTTTAAGTTGTACTAGGCTAATAAAAGTTACAAAAGGAATAACGAAGAAAATGAATACTCGAATTTTTATTCACACTATGACTGCTGTATATATATATCAAAATCTTTCGAAAAGATTGATTGATTGATTGATTATTGGTGTATAACGCCACTTTCGGCTGCATTATTAGCTTTATCGTGGCGGTCAGTTTTTATTATTGGAGGAAGCCGGAGTGCCCAGCGAGAATAACCGACCTTCGGTAGGAAAACTGACAGTTCTAGTCAATTTAGATTGGAGTAGAACGCACCTGTTGCGTGCGGGGTTCCAACTCATAACCTTTTAAAAAGAACATATCACTATATTCAATTGATTGGTTGATTGTTGGCTAATTAACTTCCAGTGGCAAATATTTCATGCATGTTTAGGACGAGAGCAAATTACCAATAAATACAACAGGTAGGTCCTGTAATTGAGGCCATGAAGGTCGGTGAAATTTGGACTGCCACTGGAAAATGAGGATATGATACTGGTTAGGGACAGACATTCTGCCTTGCAACCGGTCACCTACGGACCCCTCAAAGAGTTTGTGTAAGGGTTATTAACGTGCAAACAGCTCTACATGAGGCATAGGATTAATCTTCCCCAAAACACTTATAAGCAAAATGATCACCAAAGGCTCAGAATAAACATCGCCGGAGTTTTGAACGTTTTGAAGCGAAAACCCATTACTAAGATATACCCGAAACAGAAAACTTTCGGTCAAATAATGGTTCAGTAAATAGTTTAAACGTTTCTGCAACAGTAATGTAAATTGCAAAAATAAGCGGGTATTTTTTTTCATTCGAAAGTGTTTCTCATTAACGCACGAAAGTGTTCTGCAACAAACATGTCAGATATATTAACTGTTGATCTTAATGTGGATATTTCAAGGTATATTTTTGTCATTGATGTTTCATTATGTGTGCAAACACTTCTTCGATTTCAATGTACAAACCAGGAAATGGATGAACAGTGTATGCGAACCGACATATTGCTTAATCGGCGTTCCTTGCTACAATTTAACTAATAAACTGTTGAATAGTGTACATTGCTGGAGAACAAATTAAGCTTTGTCCTGGTTCACAAACAATAGCAATAAACTATGGTACATGTATTTGGTGATAACACGGGATCTGGGCTCCGTGCTCCATCCTTACGTAAATCTTAAATCTGGGACCATTAGATACACATCGTAACATATATAACACTTCTAACATTTTCATTACTATCAAGTAGTCAGTAGTGTATTTTAACAGCGGACTGATAGATAATCTAGTCTGTGAAAACATGATTTATTGATCAGTTGTTGTAGACCTTTGTACTAGCTTCTAGTTATTGTGAATACTCGTTGCACATTTTCTCTGTATATATGTTAGTTGTTTTGTGCATCATACCCATCTGATGAGTCAAGCTATTTTGTGAGCTCACGAACATGTTAAACCCGGCCACATTCTTGGTTTTCTCGCATTTGAATCGTTTCATATTTGTTCATGTTGCTTACATCCATGCCATTTGGACAATTATGGTGGATAGTTGTCTCATTTTGCCATATCATGCCACATCTCTTTAGGTTTACTACCAAATTCGTCAAAACATTCGTCGTTCCCTAATATGATAGCCCACAGAAATGTGACGATGTACATATACACGTTGCACTAAAATATGACATGCGTTTGTTAAATAAAAATGTATAGGATAAATCTATGTAGATATCACACTATACATATGAGGAAAACGAAATATTGGCACGGAAGAAAATCAGTTGATTTTCAAGGCGATTATTACTTCTTGATCTTTTTCAAACATGAGGTCCTTAAATATTTCACAACGACTAGAAGAAAAATCTTCGTTTCATCTACTTCTTTTTTAAACGCAGTTAAACTACTAGTTCGACATCCTGTTTTTACTGAAAATTTAAAGAAAATTAAAATTCTAATATTATGCATATCCTTACATGAAGTAAATGTACTGATATCCTACATAGTATAAAAGCTGTAGCTTGAAATCTGTATATCTAACCCACGTGATCTAACTGTGCATATCACGCGCTTATCAGGGACTGATGGACAGATAAAACCCAGTATATGTCATTTTCCAGCGGGGCACACAAATTTAAACATATAGAACCATCACACTTTACATTTATCAAGGGGAATATGAAAAGGGGGGTGCTAGTGTTTGATAATTGATGTCAGTGCTGAAAAAACAATTTTCAGAAAGGTTAGGTCGGATCAGAACAATTAAACATACCTTATTCCAAAACTAGTTTAAACCACTGCCTTCAGTTTGGCCTTCATACACCCTATATATGCACGACAAAGTTAATGATATCCTTT